CTTCGTGTTCAGTGGAAAATTTAAAGAAAAGTTACTGCAGTCTGCAAAAGAACCCCGGAAATCAGGTTGTTGGTAGGTTTTAAAAACAATAAAAAATTTGTTAAAAGAAATAAACTTTGCCAACATGTATGTGCACATTATTATCTTACTGAGACTATAAATACCACCTAAGGGTAATTTAGTTCTGCTAATGAGGCATAACATTTCTCAGAGATTCCCCAAGAAATAGTGAAATCATCAGATAATTTCAAATGTCCCGTAAAAGATGGATGAACACCTTTTCACGAGATATACCTATCAGATAGCATAGAGACCCTGATAGCACACCAGGGCGCAAAAAGCCATTCAAAATACCCATGAACTGCAGAGTGTCCTCGAAACCGAAGTCTTACGATGCCCCAAAGAAGATTTGTCAAAAATGCCAACTTGTACGAGGTGAATGCAATAAAAGGCGATTTTAATCTCTCCCAAAAATAACAACCAGACGGTCAACATGCACTGAGATGCATGTAATACCTACAATTATTGTATGAACATACACACACTATTTGATGCAGTTTTTGCAAGTTTTGGTAATATTGTTTAGCTATCAATAACTGGGAACAGAACATACAAAAAGCCTGCATTTATGTCATAAAATACTGTTATTCTTTCGAGTGATAAGGGATTGTACTACTTAATATGTCGCGAAATTTGTGTAGTTTGGCAAAAAAAATACTGCACTCGCAGCGAAGCCCTTTCCTCTGAAAAGCAAAACATTATTATGGTTAATGATGTCAAAAGAAGGACCAGACAACTTTAGGAGAATAATGCGAGGTATGTTGCAGTTTTTCACTGCTTGACCTATAGTATGTCTTTATTTTAGCATTCCCAGTATGTAAATTAAGGACGCTTTAACGATGTCAGTGTCACGTTAAGTTAAAACGGCATACCCTCCTCGGACAATACCTGAACTGCAGATAGGTGTCATAAAGAGACAACCTACTCCATGTTGTTGCCAGGAAATCGAGGGCGACGTTTTCTCGAACGATAAAAGCCTGCACGAAAACGTAGCTCTACTAATTCCGATTAACAGCAGACTGCATAAAAGTATCAATTGATGAAGGAGAGGAATATGGTTCAAAGAGCTTAAGGAAATTAGAAACTTGGTTCATCCTCACTACTGTTTATTCCGGGCAGAAGTCGTGATTATAGTAAGGGCAATAATGCAAAATTTTAAGACAGACTGTCACGACTTCACAAAAACCGCTTTCGGTTTTCGGCACAACAACTCTAAATATGCACATTCTTTCAAATAAAATAAATCAAATTACACGTCAACTATCCGAATCCTATTCGAACGGTCTGTTATTATTTCTCACAGGATTTGCAACGCTCCGCCAAAGGCTTGACAATTTATCCTCTAACTGAATACTTTTTCGGAAAGAATGAAAATCATATTCAAGTTTGCAAAAGTTAGAATTCTGGGAATGACTTTGTTTGTTCGCTGACGTTTCGAACAGCTGGGCCGGCTGTTCTTCGTCAAAACGTAAGCTGACTTTACCGATCAGCAATTTAAAGTTGTGACTGTACGTGTTGCCCGTGGGTTGATCGATTTTTCTCCGTTCGCTCCTTGGCTCGCCGTGTGAATTTTGGCATAGCTTGACGGCAGTTAGTATTTTGTTCCGTCACAGAGCAGTCTTTTTTTGCAAATCCTAAGTTCGGTATTGCCTTAAAACCTACTTCACATTTGGTGGACAAATGTATGAACAAATGAAAGGCAGTTTATGGCAAGTGTTTGGTCTGATGAAGAGTTGCTGAAAACAATTGTTTGCCATAAACTGACTTCTAAAATGAAAGGCACTCGAATGGGTTCCCCCTAGCCGGCTTGATTGCTAAAGTGGTCATTCAACGGATTGAACACTTGGTCTTCACCAAGTATCAACCAAACTTTTGGGCTCATTATGTCGATGAGACTTTCGGCATTGTCAAAACATCCGATCGGTTGACCCAAATATCCAATTCATGATGGAAGCAGAAAGAAATAACCAACTCCTCTATCTCGATGTCCTAGTGCGCCGTTGTTCAACCGGACTACTGCGAACCACAGTATTCAAGAAAGCCACCAGCACGAAGCAAATACTGCACTTCAATAGAAATCACCTTCTGTCTCACAAACGTAGCTGCGTTCGTACTCTTTTCCAACGAGTTGAAACACCTTGCAACACACAGACTGACAAAAGAGTGGAACAACAATACCTTCAAGGCCTCTTTCGACCTAATGGAGATCCGAATTCTTTTGTCAATTAAAGCAAGCACCGAGTGAACAGACGACGGGCAGCAGAACAGCAACCCGAAGACTGGAGGGCCAGGCCCTACATAAAAGGAGACTCCGAAGCAGTCCCTCGAGTTCTACAACCCGCTGGAGTAGGCAAAGTCCATCGACCTCAAGCGACAATACGCCGCCGTGTGATGCAACCTAAAGGCAGACTGTCTCCTACTGAAACCTCCACAGCTGTCTACAAAATACGTTGCAACGAAGGAGACAGCAATTGGGATAGAGAAACAGGGCGAAAATTGCAGACCGCCTACACGAACACAAAGCGGCGGCCCAGATACTAGACTCAAATCCGCAGCTTGTAACACAAATCAGAGAGACTGGCCACAACTTCGACATTCAAGGAGCAACCATTGTAGGCCGGGGAACATCAAAAGCGGCAAGACTGACGCTTGAGGCATGATACTCAGACGTCAACTCTGTCAATAGGTATCTTGACCTTCCCGCGGCCTACAAAGTCCTACGTCATTACGTGAGTAAAGGACAGGAAAAGGTCAATCTGAACCTAGGAATTCCAAATGAAGACGGCCCCGTGACGAAACCCGCCCGGAAGAGGGAGCAGGATTGCCAGCATCCTCTACCGTGGGGACGAGACACAACACTAACTGCCGTCAAGCTAAGCCAAAATTCACACGGAGGGTCAGACAGCGAACGGGGAAAATCGATCGGCCCATGATCAACATGTACAGTCACAACTTTAAATTGCTGATCGACGGAGGACAGCCGGCCCAGCCGTCCAAAACGTCAGCGAACAAACAAAGTCATTCCGATGAGCACAATGCGACCTGAAAGTCATATTACTTTATAACTAGTCTGCCCATCAGTTTGCATTCTTATATTGGAGATTTTAACGCACTCGTTCATTTTGCAACAGCTTGTTGATGGCGCAACAGCGCAGGCTCGAAGCGTCCGTGTCCAAGAAAGCGACAGACGTAGCCCTATTCTGGACACTATTGATAACATTTTATAATTGAAGTAGAATACATTTTTCCTTCTATTCACTAGCAAGTGGCAGACGTCTACAATGTCTAACAGTGAAACTTCTAATAGTTTAATGAACGTTCACCTGACCACTAGCGGGACTCATCTGTTTCGCTCTGCCTTGGGTCTTATCAGAGGCCCTGACAGCCTTAATAGTTGGTAGTATAGGCAGATAGAATTGTTGGCAATCCTATCTTCTAATAGTTTGTAATTCAAACAAATGACAATTTAC